ATGCAGGAGGACAAACGCTTCTCATCGTACGCATGCAAGGTGCGAACCTACTACGCGTCCATACCCACACAGCAAAAGGTACAACAACCCTCGCGCAAGCTGCCCACAACCACCGCTCGGTCAGTCATTGACCGTTTGCCTCGCTCTCGTCATGCTGGCTTAGGCGCGCGTACTGGCGCATCTGAAATCGGGCTTCATCCGGTGCGTCATCAGCACCAACGCTCTGGAGGCCGGCGTTGACATCCCCGAGCTGGACGCAGTGCTCTTACTGGGTGCGTCTCCGGTTTTTGCTCTACGCTCACCGTCACATGCACGCCACGCTCACCACGTTCGCCCATGTCACGGTGGGAGCGCAGGCTATCCGGGCAACAAGATGAGCTTCTGGCAGCGGGTGGGACGAGCGGGAAGAGGCAGGGAAGGTCTCGCGCTCTACCTCCCCTCTGCCAACAGCGCACTCGACCTCTACTTTGCAGAACACCCGGAAGGTACAGTTTCCACTCACTCACTCACTCACTCACTCACGCACTCACTCACTCACTCACTCACTCACTCACTCACTCACTCACTCGCTCACTCACTCACTCACTATCATCGCAGAGCTACTGGGCAAGGACATGGAGCGGGTGGCGTTCAACAGCGAATACCCTACCATACTGGGCAAGCACATATGGTGCGCCAGCGTCGAGTCTGGAATCGAGGTGCGGTAGTGGGGTCTTGCATTTTTGTATTCAAACGTGCCGGCCGGCACTCACGCAACTCGTAGGCCGATGAGCGAAAGCTGTGCCAGCGATTTGGGGGAGCGGCGCCGCAGCTGCTTCAGTTCCTCGAACAGCGCGGCGACGTCGCCCGAAGGGACTCAGACACGCGCAGAGGTACACAGTTTCTCTTCCTCTTCTATTCTTTCTTTTTCGAAGCTGACCCACCGGTTGTGCCCCAGGGGCGGTGTGGGTGGGACGGGGCTATCCGCACCGGGATGTCAGCCTGCGCGGAGGGGAGTCCTTTGCGGACGTGCGCGCCGTGTGGAGCAAAAACAACGCCATCATCGAAACCCTGGGCCAAAAGCAAGGTAGGGACCACCACTGCACCCAACCCGTTCTACCCCCCGGTACACTGAATGCGTGTTCGGCCTAATGGCGAAACAGCGATCATGCGTCTGTTTCCGGGCGCGATTTTCATGTCGGCCGACGACCAGACCGGCACCGTGATGCGGTTCGACGTGCTCTCGCTCGACTTGAGTCCAGACAAGCGGCTGGCGGTGCTCGCCGCCAGCAAGTACCCTCCCGGCACCACCGTGTCACCGCTCCGGGACAACAGTACCACAATCACCGCCCTACCCCCCACAAGCGTTCTGCGCACCTTGACTCACATAGAGTCTGTGCGCCCCAAGGTGTGACCATGACCAAAAAGTGGGGCAACAAACGATTCAACTTGCCCGGCGGCACCGGCAGCCTAACCGTCACCTACGGTACGTATCTGCCACCACTTCAAACTGGTCAATGCGCGTGTGTTGATTTATTTTGTCCGTGTGGGTGTGCGGCAGGCTGGTGCACGCTCACCTCGCGCGTGTACGGCTGCGAGGTGAAGTCTCCGGCGCGCAGGAGCAAAGGCGACGATACTTCGGGTCTGCCCGCCTTCGGCCGCACGCTCTACGATCAGGGGCAGAGGTTCGAGTGGTCGCACGAGGCGCCCTGCTTGCGCTTCAGGCTGGACGAACCGGCCAAGGCCGTCCTGCGAAGCCGGCTGCGTGCTGACGTCATGCCCACTCTTCAGGAGACCTTCACCGCCTCGCCCGACCTCGCAGTGCGCACCCGCCTCTGATGCGGCTGCCATACCGCTATGACTGATGGTGGCGCGTAATACGAGAATGCAGGAGCGGTTCAACAGGTTGAGGAATCTCGATGCGGCCTACATCGCCATGCACACCGTACGTTGCGCTCGTCGGAAGTTCTCCCGCTGTAGTGATTGCATCGTCAGATGATGGGCACCGCTGACACCGAAACCAACAGTTCCTACACCAGCTGATGTCGGTAGTTCCGCTCTTGCTGCTCTCCTCGCAAGATGTCGAGGAGGGCACGCTCAATGCACTCGACTGCGAAGGTACCGACATTCTCACATTCCTCCACTCATGAATGTCTTTTTCTGGCATTCTCTCAACTTTATGAGCGTGTGTGTAGGTTATCTGGTGGACTCATGCGATGGTGGAACCGGTGTGTGCGAGGAACTCTTTGAGAAGTAACGCATCAGTCCCACAGCCACCGGTGGCCGCACGCACGCACGCACACCATTTACACTGACTACTGTGCGTGTGTGCGATGGTGCAGCTTTTTGAGCTTCGTGGCTAAGGCCAAGGAGTACATGGGATCGTGTTTGAGCTGCCAGAAGGCGGGCGTGTGGGGCTGCGCAACGTGCCTCTACCAGAACCACTGTCCCACCTACAACGACGTACGTTCGCCTTCGTCGTCTTCTTCTTCATCATCATCTCCCACCCCATCACCAATGGCGCGCTGGGCGGAGGACGGCAATAGGCGTTGGTGGCAGCCTTGGGCGCGGAGCTGTTTGGGATACGCGAAGCAGCGGAGGAACCCACCACCAAGCACGCCGACCGACCAGCTCCCCAGGAGAAGGAGGCCGACGGTGCACAGGACGACCAGGAAGCCCTGCTGGACCAGTTCGTTGTGCCCACCACCAAGCGGTTGGTGGACGACGAGGAAGAGGAAGAGGAGTTGGAAGTGGCCGACGATTGGGAAGGGGAGACCACTGCTGGTGACGAGTTCAACCACCTGTGACATGCAACGTTTTGTATTTCGTTGTTGGGGGGGGGTGGACAGGCGACGAGCGCACCATCCACGCGACCACAAATTGTGCTGTCTGCTTACCCCGTGGGGCAGCAGTAGCCACTACCACGCACAACCGACGTGCAATGGAAGGGGGAAGTGTCTAAAAGGTCCGCCTTCGTGATCGCAGACCTTTCCAGCAAGGTACGTATGCTTCACCTACTGGACCCGCCCCCCACCTATACTCTGCCCGTTGCGCAATTGTTATGGGACGGAACAAGTCGGCAGCGTGAGGGGTTGGTTTCGGCCGAAACGTGATAGAATAACTTATATGACCAAACTATGAGTGGCGTGTTACACTTTGGCTGCGACATCGGCCAGGGCCGCCTTGGCTTCGTTGTTGGTGTCGGCGAGCTGGGCCTTGGCGGCGTCGAGCAGATCGCGAATGCGCCTCCGCTCGTCGTCGAGCTTGGCTTCCCACTCCCTGCGCAGGGTCTCCTCCCGCTCGCGCTGCTCTTGTTCCCACTTGGCTCGCGCCAGCTGCAGCTCCGTCTCCTTTTGCTGCGCCAACGATTCCTTTTCCATCTCGAACTTTTCCTGCTCCTGCTCATCGACACACACGACACACGCGACACACGATGATACACCCAAACACGACAAATTGTTAGGGCTCGCTTGGCACGAGCCAAGGTAAGAGGCTGTACCTGCTGTCGGCACTGCTCGAATTCGAGCTTCATGGTCTCGATCTCCTGGATCATCCGCTCTTCGAAGCCCTCCCCGTACTGCTCGTCCTCGTCCTCGTCATCGACGTCGGCGGCAGCGGAGACGCCGTCACCCTTCTTCTGCTCGCCCTCAGCAGTGGCGGCGACGGCCTTCTTGTTGGGCTTCTCCTCCTCGCTCGACGGCAAAACCGCAGCCTCCTTCAGCTTCCTGGGGCCGAGCGTGATGGCGAACCAGCCGCGCACCTGGGCAAAGTCCTTCAACGTACGCACGTTCTTGGCAAGCTGCGGGATGACTGTGCCAGCACGATCGCAACGTCAGTCAAGAAGGGCTGGGTGCGTTCACATAGTTAATCTCAACGTACCTGGTGTGGCATAAACCTCACGATCCTGTGCAGAACAGCAAAGGAGAGGTGAGTCGCCATCTGGATCTTCCCAATTTATGTAAAAATCTTAATCGAGGGCAAGCGTACGTATACGCCCACGCCGGTCTGGTACATGAAGGCCACCTCCTCGAGCACGTCTTTGGCGTTGTAGAGGCGTGGCAGATCTTTGTCCTCGAAGCCCAGCCGAATCCATTCCTCCTTTCCTGTGACAGTCACTTTAGACGTGCGCACTACCCACGCAGACGGTCGCAGAATTGACGGATCTTGTCCCTGCATAATGCGATCTCGCTTCCTTATGCTGCGTGATCAATTTGAAATGGCAAGATGATTGAAAAGAGATTGTGAAAAACAAATTAAAAACAAATGTACAAGGCCGCACAGTCAAGATGAAGGAGAAGTTGTGAGCCGCGAATGAAGTCTAGGCGGCGATGACAGAATCGAGGCTGATGTTGAAGTCGGTGCTGACCACTACGTAGTGCGGGCGGAAGCTGAGCGTGGTGTTCGACAGCGTGAGGCTCTTCGACGAGATGTAGGCCAACGGAATGCCCTTGTTGGTGAAGTGACACGAGTGAGCCGGCGTGCAACGAGGAGGGTTGCTGCAGTAAGTTCAGTAGTACCTCTCGACCATAGCCGTTGAGGATCGGCATGAAGATGTCCGACA